TTAAAATCACTCTTGTGACTAGGGCAGTTTGGGTCGAGATATTAAGAGCAAACTAGATATATGGATGTATTTTCTCATAAATAGGAAATCCGATAAAAAAAACTTTTTAAATAAAATACTTACAATCTACGATTTTTCCTTACCTTTGTAATTAAAAAAAATTAACAGGTGAGATAAAAAATTAATTTTTGACATTTTACAATAAACCAGATTTACAACGCTTTCCTATAAAAATCTTACCCCCCACCATCCCATAGAGGGAGAGTGGGGGTAACATTCCCAAAATATTAGGTTAAAACTTTTTAAATAAAACAGTTTGAATTCCAAAATTTGGTCAAAATGATAGGGGTAAATTTTTTAAAAAAAAAGTTGAAACTTATGTCTTTTACAAATGTACCAAAAATAAGAGTTTTATCTCCTCTGTGATGATTTTTATAAATAATATCAAGTTGTTTGTTGCCGTTCATTCTGATAATCAAAATTTTATTTGGAATCATACCACATATGGCTGACAATTTAAAAACTTACAAAAACTTATATCTCATGAACTGGATGTAGGAAAAAAATTAAAATCTGGGAACTTGCAAGATGTCTTGGGGCTCATTTAGCTATTCCTATTGACCGGAAATAGATCTTAAGTCGCTTATTTTAAATACGGCATCCTATTATTACAAATTTGAATTTTACTTCAGATTCTGGGCAGGTTTTATGTATCATATCATATGCCTAAGTCAGAGCGATTTTACATATTTTAGTTTTTACATCAAAAATGATGTTGGTAAGCCCTCATATAATTATCAGTTAGTCCTATAAAGAAGTCCTTATATCTACTTCGGGTTTAATTCCTTGGGTTTAAGGTTTAAAATGAGATTAAGAAAACTGCCAAAAATCGATTTTTCAAATGGAACAACCCATTTTTCTTATTTTGTAGTATTTAGCATCTAAAATAAAGGTAACCTTGTATAAAGTCGTCTACAGGGTGGTCCGTTAATAATGAGATTCAGAGCTACTTTATAAAAGTATTGCGATATAACACAATTTACCTTAGTTCAATTTTTGATATTAAAGAATATACATAGTGTTAAAATAGATACATTTATATCAGTATTTTTGATTGAAATATTTGACACTTCATTTTATTAAGTATCTACTTTAACACCTTATATCTTCAATATCCAGAATTGAACAAAGGTAAATTTTTATATCGCAAGATTTTTATGCAAGGAATTTATAGATGTTCTGTGTCCCATTGTTAACGGACCATCTTGTAGACAACCTTATTTTTCATACTTTATTTTCGATACTAAATACTATAAAATGAGAAAAATGTGAATTTCCATAAAAACATTTTTTTTGTAGTTTTCTCAATCTTATTTTAAACCTTATTTTTGAACAGCCTGCATGATTAGTTGTCTAAATATAAAAAAATCTATTAATGAGATTTTTTAACAAGGAATCCAACCCAAATTAACCAATAAGATCTCTGGTCCTCTCATTTCTTCTTAATCTACTTTGGACCACTTTAAGATATGGACAATATTTGGAAATAAAACAATATTATTTTTGAAATAGGTAAGATACGCAGCTTTTAGTTCTTACATGTCAAGTCAGCGGCGGTAAGTCCCCAAACACAAATACGTCGAAATTAACAGTCGAGTATTTACAAAAGTTCAAGCATATACAGTGTGTCCACTTAAGTTCGCAGCATATGGGAAACTTTTTTATTATTAACTTTATGAAAAAAGTTTTTCTTCACAAAAAGTTCTGCAACTATCAGATATATTTTTACAATAGTATACGAGATATATCAAATAATATGAATTTAGCTGTAAAATAAAGTACCTTTATTTTTGATAAATCACGTATACGACTGATAAAATTTGATATTTGATGGTTGCATTTTACGTTTTAGACCATGCTCGACTTTTTATGAAAAATAACTTTTTTCATAAAATTAGTAATAAAAAAGGTTTCTGCATATAGTAAGACGAGGATGGTGTCAAACCTAAAATACTACCATCAGATATCAAATTTTATCAGTCGTATACGAGGTTTGTCAAAAATAAAGATATTTTACTCTTCAGCAAAATTACCTATTTGACATATCTCGTATACTACTGTAAAAATTTAATATATCATAGTTGCATTTTAGGTTTCAGACCATTTCGACCTTTTTATGAAAAATAACTAAATGAAAATATTTTTTCCTTCGACCACTTAGGAAAGTGACACATATCACACTATATAGTCCTATGGAAAGTGCCCTATATCACACGCGTATGAATAGGAATTTACTTTCCACCCGTGTACGAATATGCAACTTTCCGCAGCAGCTGTCACAAAATGTCAAACACATCATTTCTATTTTGATCTATGTAATGTCCATATTAATACTAAAATCGATATTATGATTAAATTATTAAAATTGACGATTAACTTAGATCCTAGATATTTAATTTTAACAATTATTAAAATAATTTTAAAATAACTACATACATCTCATTATTTTGGCTTTTTATTCTATTTAAACTTAAAATCGAATTAAAAATGCATTTGACATAAGACCTATTAGCTCAGGTTTTAGGGTAGTTGCAATTTGAACTTTGGCTTACACGACGGGTCCGCGGGCCCGCGTTCAAAACTTGGTGGTTGCAGAATTTTTTTTGTTTTTTAATTTTTGTTTCGAAAAATATGAAAATTGCATAAATACAATTATTGTTGATTATTTTTTTAAATACATTTTAATTATTATAATAATAACCTGGTTCTACATTTTTTGATGAAATTATTTTGTGGTCGTAGAAAAATATTGTACATCACTTGTGTGAAAAGTAATTTTCCACACTGGTGTGATAGTCGCACTCGGCTTGTGCCTCGTGCGACAATATTTTCCACTCGTGTGAAAAATGTCACTTTCCACACACGTAATGTAATATACTATACTTGTTTCTTTCGACTTACTTCTGTTTTGAATGATTCCTACAAAACGGAAAGCACATAAAATGTTTGTAAATACGCAATGTTGCCACATTCACTGGCTCAAGATGATACGGAATTACTTTCAATACGTATATATAATTATATACCGCAAATACCTACCTAAGCGCCGCAAACGTCAAATTGTTGAACTACATATTGGAGTTTCGTATATTCCTGAACCAATAAAAAAGGGGGAATATCCGGCAATGTGTTGGGCGCGAAGATTTGAAAACATAATTTACAGATTCCTTTATTATGGAACTATTACAATCAAGTTTCACTTTAAGCATAGAGTGGGTATTAAATAATTTAACACAGCAAAACAAACTTGAACCAATATACTGGTTCAGGTTTGTGATGGTGGTTCAAGTTTGTTAACCCAAGTTACTACTTCTGGTTCAGGTTTGGATGGTTACCGTAAATATATATATATATATATATATATATATATATATATATATATATATATCCATTACAGACTACCTCACCGACTAGCGCCGTCTCCTTCACCCTAGCGACGTCGCTACAATAGAGGAAAACTCCTCTTCTGAACAATAATTGATCCTTACCCTAGCAGCATTACCGATCCCTAAAAGACTAGTGGGAGTTTGTAGCACCCTTCAAGGAGAAAAGCGAGATCACCACCACAGAGACCACAGCAAGGCAAGTCCAATTAGATCCATTCACGTTGGAAATATAAATACCAATTCGTACATACAGTGATATACAAGCACAATAAATTGTTTTTTTTTTGTTAAATAAAATTGTTAAATTTTATTGTTTTTTATATTACAAAGGTATGCCTTATTTCTTTGGAGATTAATAAAACAATACACTACTAACAGATGGCGCCCAACTTTTCTTTTCTTTAAATATCTTTCTAATTTTATTTCTTTTTGTATTTATTTAATTAAATCAAATAGGATGGCGGTAATTTGACATCCGTGGTCCTTCTGTTACTAGTGGCATCGAAGAGTGGTTCAGAACCAAATTCCGCTGAGCTAGCAAACAAAAATAATTGGGCCGCAACTTTTTTCTCTCGAGAGAGTAAGAGTTACGTATCAATTTGATTTCAATATTCTTCTCCAAATATTACACTGAATATTTTGTTTAATTTTGTATACTTTTTAAAGTCGGATGGTCACTTTTATACTAGATATTTTGTGATTTTGATGGGACTTCTGGGTTCCCGATTCGGAGACCGCCATTTCAATGTTGCCATGACGGTGTCCGAATCGGAAGTCCGGCTTGAATGTAATGTTAAGTCAAACGTCAAACTTCACTTCATTTGATTCTTCTTATTAAATTTGAATTATGTAAACCGTGCAAGTTTCCGTGCGACTGAAAGATGTTTGTAAGACGTCTTTGAGCTTTCACATTAATATATGGATTTGGCAAGACATCTTTATGACGTCTTAAGAACGTCTTTGAGCTCTCACATTAATACATCTGAAATATGGCTTTTGCAAGACGTCTTATAAGACGTTTTAATAACGTCCTAGGATATTGAGACCAAACCAAGACACAAAAAAGACGTCTTTAAGACGTCGTGTGCTATCTGGGGTGCTGCCCTAATTCCTTAATAGTATATTAACAACAGTAGCTAAAGACCTATCCGTAGTTACAATTGGTTCTTAAGCTTCCCGGTTGTTACAAGTCCTCTCTTTATTACCTAGTCTACGGGTCCAAAGAGTGGAATACAAAAAAAATACTTTCCTTACTGGTTACTGGAAAGTAATCAGATTCCTACAAAAAAGTCTTTGCACTTTCATCAGACATTTTTTTAATTTCATTGCATGTGTAAATTAAAGTGGCTCAAAAAATCGATTTTTTTTTTTTTCGAATATTGGTACTCACATGCAAACAAAACCTAATCAAAAAATGTATTACCTATTACCTCGTTTTAAAAAAATTGGGGGCTCCCAATTCTTAGTTGCCACAGGGCCTCCACACCTTTAAATGCCTCATCCTTTTCTTTTTACATAGTGAAAATCATTTAATTTAAAAATAAAATATCTAGGTTATTCAAAATACAGTTTATTCATTGTAAATTTACGTTAAAAATTAAAAAAAAACCAGTTTAATCTCTTTAAGTAGAGATTTTAATCATAAACCGATAACTTCCTCTTCCAGTTCATACCATCACCAGGTAATTTACTGTCAACCCAAGGTTCAAGCCAAAATAGATACCATTTATCACCTAAAACAGTTTTTACATTTTCCAAAATAGCTATATTATATTTATCTTTGTTTTTCAACTTCTTATTTTCAAATAAAGTAACACCTTTCGAAATCAATCGTATATAAAAAATCAACAATAAAGTAGCCATTATTCCTACTAAAAATATTATAAGTATTACAAAACAGTGAAACTGATAACTGGTCCAATCTATGTAAAAGACTCCGATAAGAGGGAAAGCAATCTTTAGAATAGCTTTCCACATGCATCCGGGTTGTACAGAATTCCATATATACCAAATATTAAAATAAGAACCGTAGATTGCAGTCAGCACTTGATAAAAGAGATAAGTTAAGAAATATTTCTGATTATCGAATCCTACACAACAGCTCATTACATAGCAGTGATGGTCTCTTCTAAGAATACAAATTTTACAGATATTACAGTGCCAGGATCGTGGAGGAACTGATGCTTCACATTTTTCGCAATACTTCCATTCTAGAACCTGCTTTCCTCTTTGAATCCTTCCTTTGATGCTAGGATCAATAAGAGATGTAGCGATCAGATTAGCAATAACGCTAAATACCATAAATGATACTATTGTACAATGAACATTATAAGTAGGACTCCATTTTTCGTAGAAACTTGGTATGACGACAAATAGTTCAAGATAGTAGTAAAGAAGAATATTGATCCATAAAAATCCAGTTGCTAAAACCTCTTTCAATGATTTTGGGTAAATATTTTTTCGTATTCTCATGTTCTAAAGGAAGTTCAATTAGATTCTAATAATTTGTAGGTACCTACCTATTCTAAAATCTGATTACAATTTTTATTCAAAAAAAACTTGTAAACAATTTTGTCATGTTAAGGTTATAGTGACATTGTCATCTTAAATAAATGTAAATACAAGGCGTTTTCTATTCAACAAAATGAACTATTGATGATGGATTACGTAATCAATAAATGGACGACTGCTGCAATCAAGATTTTGATCTGATGAAAATTATTTGAGAACGACTGATATTTGTGATTTTATAATCTTAACTGTCAAACTGTCTTTATTTAACGAAAACAAACAATTCGAAGACTTTTTAATAAGCATAAAAACTAAAGACAAGTACGGGAAATACAATAATTGAAAAAATATGTACCTGTCTTCATTTGCTTGCTGTATATCCAACGCTAACATTCTTATTTTAAAAGTTAGCCCATTTAAAGGTTGTTTTAAAAAACCCAGTGAGTTTCTTCATTCTTATTACCTATTAGTGCAGGGCATAGTGGCGCATTCGTTTTCAAAATTGTTTTAATTCGTAATTTTGTTTTTAAAATGTCCGGAAGGCTTTCCTGATTATAAAAGTGTAAGCTGACACTCCATATTTGTTGATGTTATTGTTTAAACAACTAAAAATTAATTAAACCAGAAAAAATGCATTTTTGACAATGAATAAATTTTTTTTATATTCTATAGGATATTTCGAATAAAAAAAATACTTACGCCCATCATCGTATCTTTAACCCTTTAATTGTTATGAATTTTTTAAAATCCGAAATTGACGAAAATTCTAATTTTCTTGAATTAAATAATATACCTTAAAATTTAAAATGCTATAATTTTAAATTTTTTACCGAATATTCAAACTATAATAAACAAAACAACCTAAATAAATTTTCAAAATTTTGTTTGTTATGTTTTTTTACGTTATAACAATATGCTTCCTACGCGCGTGTGCTTTTAGAGAGAAGTACTTCTATCTCACTTCCAACTCAATGTATAAGATGGGTAAGAGAAAGCCCGATGACGCGCTGAATCAATTTTTTGCTGTTTTTCAGAGGTAATAAGTTTAAAATAGTTATTTTTGTATCTAGTGCGCGAAATGCTACTTTGGTGATCGAGAACTGATTTTTTTAACGAGGCGCAGTCGAGATCACCAAAGTATTTCGCGCATGAGATGCAAACAAATTTTTTTCTACAAACGTCAAAAATATTATTCTAAAATAAGTAACATGCTTAGCTTAATATGAAAAATAGTATTGAACTGGAGGTGTTAAATTTTCTCACAATTTGAAAGCCTTAATTATTGTTATACATTAATAAATAAATGATTTCTTGGATTTTTGCTTGATTGAGGAACATAAAGGTTAAGATATAAAAATCCCATATAGTTTACATGCAGTGTTCGAAGTAAGTATTTCGCACACTACTTCGCGCACGGTGTCATGGTAACGAAGGAAAATGAAAAAAAGGGTCACTTCGCATATTGTTGTCAATGCGCGAACCTTGTTATTTTTTGACGTTTGTAGAAAAAAATTATTATTAACATTTTTCATATCACTTTGTTATATTTGCCGATTAATAGTTTTGTATCATGTGATTTTTTTTTACTTTTTTAGATACTTTTGATAACTTTTTTATTTATTAAAGTTAACAGAAACATTTATTTTTATTCATGAAAAAATTATTGTCAGATACTGCCTGAGAAGTAAAATCTTCTTCAACTTTTTCTTTTTTTTTTCAATACGATGAAAAGGCCAAATGCACTTGTCGTGATCCGTGAAAAATTTCTACCTGTTACAATGAACATAGGAGGCTTACCGGGGTTATAAAATTGTATGATTTCAAAAACCAAGCCTTTCTCCATTTAACAAAAATAAGGAAAAATTTTTTTTTTTAATATTGAGAGTAAGTACTATAAATATCAAATTTTTTTATGACTTTCAATCTTTTTCACTGTGAATACAAATAGGTAAAGGGATTTATTTCGTATTTTGATAAAATTGTACGTTTAACTCTTCTTCTATTTTTTTTTTCCTGTCATAAACAATTTTTACAACCTTCCAAATAGAAAATTCAACCCTACCTTAGAATTTTTGGCTCATTTTAAAAATTATTTTTCAGTTGTTAATCAGTCTTGCTCGATTCTACATCTACTGCTTTACTTTGCAGTCGTGTAATTTTCTGAGTAATAATGTCGTTCTCTTTAATTCCAAAAAAAAATTAAATTATCTGACGACAAAAAGTGTTTATTTTGTGATCATGGCGAGGCGTTAGTGAAGTGTCCGAAACCTGATACATATTTAAAATTAAAAAATGCAACTATTCGTCGAAACGATAACGTGACTGTGCGATTTAATTTGTTGTTTAATGAAAATACTAGTGAAGAATCTTTTTTGTGGCATCGTGGCGCGTAGGAAGTATATTGTTATAACGTAAACAAAAACATAACAACAAACAAAATTTTGAAAATTTATTTAGGTAATTTTGTTTATTATAGTTTGAGTATTCGGTAAAAAATTTAACATTATAGCATTTTAAATTTTAAGGTATATTATTTAATTCAAGAAAATTAGAATTTTCGTCAATTTTGGATTTTAAAAAATTCATAACAATTAAAGGGTTAAAGATACGATGATGGGCGTAAGGACTTTTTTATTCGAAATATCCTAAAGAATATAAAAAAAATTAATGCATTGCAAAAAATGCATTTTTTCTGGCTTAATTAATTTTTCGTTATTTAAACAATAACATCAACAAATATCGAGTGTCATCTTACACTTTTATAATCAGGAAAGCCTTCCGGACATTAAAAAAAAATTACGAATTGAAACAATATTGCAAACGAATGTGCCAGTATGCTCTGGTCTATATTAGGAATTTTAAGCAAACTTTTCCTATTTCCTTATCTGTTTAATATTAATTAATCCTTTAAGATTGTCACGTGATCCATCAGTGATCAACATAATCGAATTGATGGATTTGGTGACGACCATCTGAGAATTAGGTTGAAATTAAAAATATGATGTAAAAAATTTTGATGGATAAAAGAACAGTTTTGATGAAATCTAGATGGCATCGATGAATATTAGAAAAGGCCTACAGCGTTTTTTCCATAAGCTTCTAAGTCAAAAACATCCAAACTGAGTACTTAGGTTTGCTTATTGGTCACCATGATCTGAGGACAAAAAGAATCAGAACAGAAGAAACACTACTCACGGATTCTTTAATAAAGAAAAATAACACCAATACATATACTGTGCCAGAGCTAAAGCCTGAGTAGTTTGAACTTTCTAATGGGTATTCCAATAAAAGTTTCCGTATGTTGTTTTGCTATTTTTCTTATCGCTAATTTTTTTAGTGTTCTTTTTTTGTCGAATAATGCAGTTTAGTAATGCAGCAGACACAGTAGAACAACATGTTTACATTGTTAAAATTTATTGTGAAAAGATTGATTGTGTGATGTGTGTGTGTGAGAGAGAGAGAGGAAAGGTTTGGCATTGGAGTGAAAAGGTTCTGTTGGTAATATTTAGACTATTCATCAAAGTTTGGCTGATGGTACTCTCCAAATGTATGTTGAACGTCGTTTACAACAGTTAGACCTTATAATAATATAGCTGGTTTCAGCTTACACAGGAGCTGAAGCCAGCCCAACAAACTGTTTTACCCATTTAAATATTTACCTACTATTCCATCGCATATCCTTTACATTTTAAGTATCTTTGGTTGTTTCAAAATGATCGCAGTAAATCGCCTCTGAAGGAGTGTTGCTAACTATCCAAGGTGCAATCCAAACCAAATACCATCTCTCCCCCAATGCAACTTTGGTATTATACAATTTTCCCCTATCGCATTTACTCTTCGAATTCCTTTCGTATGTGAGCAGATTTCTAAACATCAAACCTATATGGAAATGCAACAAAATTCCGTTCCCAAGCATACCGGTAAAAATGAGCTTGATGAAAACGAGTTGTAACTGTTTCGTGTTGAACTCGAAAAACATCGAACACACAGGAAATATAAATTTCAAAATTGAGCTCGTGGAAAAATCGTCAATTAAATAATCCTTTAAATAATAAATACTGTAATAAGCACAAATAAGTTCAGAAATGAACATGTAGGATACAAACACCAAATAGTATCTTTGGTTTTCAAGTCCTATACAGCAACTGGTGAATATACAGTGATGATCTCTTTGACGAATACAAATTTTGCATGTCTTGCAGTGCCACGATCTCGGCGGGGCATAAGATTGACATTCAGTGCAGTATCTCCAACCTGGCTTTGATTTTGATGTCACTAACAATCCTTTTATGCTTGTATCTACGAATACGGTTCCAATTAAATTTGTACACACGTTAAATAATAGAAAATTCATTAGGATAAAATGAAAATAATAAGCGGGACTCCATATTTCATGGTATGCTGGAATGACTACAAAAAGTTGAAAATAATAGCCTGTTGGAATTAGCAGCAATAATAAACATGTTATTATCGTATCTCTTGGACATTTTGGAAAAATATCGGTTCGTAATATCATTTTTATCAACCCATAAATTTGAAATTTATTTCAAAAAATAATTCTTCCTTCTCAAAACTTTGAAGTTATCTGAAGTATTTTAAAAAACACTGTGACACTGACAATAAAAGTCATAAAATCCAAAAACAGAGATCAATCCCTTGATATCTGGTCTATCTAGAGCCAAAAACATAATATTTGTAGTACAGGGTGTTTTAATAATTTCTATTCGTGCTTTAAAGAGAATAAACACCTATAGCACAGAATACGTATATCCCAGAATCTCATCTTGCGGTGGAAGGGGAAAGTCAGATTTCTATCGATGCGTTTGGAGTAGCAAGCACAGATTAGCCTAGATCATTGGCGTGTCCGATAGTTTTATATTTGCGCTGTGTATAAATTTCAGTGGTGGCGTTGATTTTTCGCGTTTAATTGTGTTTAATCGTGTTTAATTTATTTTTTATGACTGGGTCAGATACAATTGTAGGCATGGAGGATGATGGTTTGGGCTCAAAAAAATTTAAATAGGCCACCAAGGCATCTGTTTTTATGATTAAGGGGATAAAGACTAAGTGGATTCAACCACTGTGTTATAATTTTTTTAATACAAGCTGTCCAGCAAAATCCTTAAAAATTATTATTGATGAATTGGTTATAAAACTAAAAAATATCGGTTTAACTGTTTGTGTTTTACTGACAGATTTGGGATCTAATTATATACAGTTAAAAAATTTATTAAAGATAAGTTCAACCCAACCTTATTTTTTTGTAAATAATCAAAAAATTTTTTATATGTTTGATCCTGTCCATTTAATAAAGGCCGTAAGGAATAATTTACAAAAACATAATTTTGCAAAACCGGACGGTAAAGAAATATGTTGGAAATATATTGAAGATTTTTATAATCACGATAAAAAATATCTCATTAGAGCTGCTCCAAAATTAACAGATAAACACTTATATCCAAACAACTTTGAAAAAATGAAAGTAAGATATGCTACTCAACTTTTTAGTAACACAGTTGCTTCGGGTATGATAGTATACTCAAGATTTGGCTTTATTCTGGCTTCTGGTGAGGATACAATAAAATTTATTATAATGATGGACCAGTTATTTGACTTACTAAATTCATCACAAATGTCTGACGTAAAACAATTTAAAAAGGCCTTTAAAGGTAATAACTATCACTATTGATTTTTTAAGGGAATGTGAAGAATGTTTTGACAAAGTTAGTGTGATAACTAAAAATGGTGATGATTTCACCAACCGGGTAAGGTTTATAAAATGTTTTAAAATAACTATTAATTCACTGATTCAGCTATGGACAACTTGTTTAAATAAACATTTAAGCTTTCTGTTAACAAGAAGATTAAATCAAGAATGCCTCGAAAATTTTTTTGGGTCCATTCGGCAACAAAATGGTAATTGCTTTAATCCTACCTCTATACAATTTAAAAGAACTTTTAAAAAATTATTATGTATAAAGCTGCTTCATTCCGGTACAGAAAACTGAGAAGGAGACTCTTAAAAAATATTACTTAAATTAACTGATATTCAGCAGTATGAGGAAGTATCCGATCAACCTACTCCTCCACAATTTTCTGTACCCGAGAATGAAATAGCCATTGAAACAGACAGAATGAAATAAAGGATCTTGATGATTCAACAATATTTTGTCTTCAAAAAGCATATGAGACTAAACATAAAACTTTTGGAAATTTATTGATGCCTAGTGACAGCTTTCTTTATTTTATTATTCAATTAGGAGTTGTGTTTGATAATAATTTTGAAAATGTTTGTCTTTTAACCACAATATTAAAACAATTACTCAATTTAAGCAGTCCTGTTATATTCCATCATCCATGCCAACAATTTCCTATAAACTATGTAGTTAAACTGTATTTTATATTAAGAATATTTTATGCAGTTAAGAATATTAATAGAAATTTTAAGAGTTCTGATAATAAAACAAAAATGTTAATTTGGAAAAATTATAATAATTTGGTTTACTTTATTTGATTTATTTTATGTATTTATAAATTAGTTTTTCTCCGATTGACATTAAACGTCAGTTTTAGTGACATTTATCGATCATAGAAGTAACACTTTTACTGTCTAGGCAGTAAAAATTATTTTTAATGCCTAGGCATTAAAAAAAATTTTTTTTCTTTTTTTTTTAATCTTGCTCTGCATGAGTATCCGACCAAAAAAGTTACTCTAGTAAATTTAGTCACTGTATAATAAATTAACTATCTTAGGGACATTCTGGACCGGTTAAAAATAAGTTAAAAAATAACGATAATTGTCGCGTTATTAGCGATGACTTTTACTGGTTCAAAATAAGTACATAGTTATAAAAAGAAAGACAAAATTCAGAATTTTATTATAATTTTAACTCTAACACAATAATAATTAGAAAACAATTAATTATTACCTATAACATACGATTAGAAAAAATATTAAAAATTGTGAGTTGTATCTGTTATAAAAAAGTTTTCATTTTAATTTGTTTTTTTAATCACACTGTACAAACAATCGGAGAAAAAATTATGTTTCGCACGGCAAAGAATTAGATTCACTGCCTTGGCTAGTTTAATTGAATGAAATGCTAGCAGCGGCAGTAAATCTGTTACTTCTCTGCCTATTTAAACAAATAACTATTTATGATTAGAACATTTTTTGTATAATAATTATTATATTCGTATATTATAAACATTACTGCGATTCATTAAGTACGGGCCTGAGCAGTCATGATCACAATTAGCAAGTACACGCCTGATTTCTACTCCAACGACTAACGAGAACTGGGCCACGCGACATCAAAGAGGCCGCCTGAAAGTTAATATTCTGGGATATAATTATTTTGTGCCTATAGGGATGAAATCCTAAGGTAATCATGCGACTGGGATGTAAGATTTACCCAAAATTTTGCAATGTGCATAAAATTGAATTGTGTTAGGTTCTGTTCTTAATTTGATAAAAAATAAACACTTCAGAATCTGTCACAGGCACATACTTTAATCAAAGTATGTGGTCACAGGCTTTTTACCATATCCCCTACTAGTCAGTCGTGAAGGTTATATTTGTTGTGATGCCAACACCAAAATAATGCCATCTCTGAATAGAAGTGAGAGAACCAAGAGAATCGATTATGTTGGCATAAACATGGCGACGAGCTCGTTATCATCTGCTGGAAACATTCATATGCGTATCAATTTAAAGTGAAATATTTAATATTTTTATTTTCTCAGTAACTATTCTCATTAGTATGGATGGATGATTCATAATAATTAAAAACCCATTTAAAAAGAAGATGACATGTTTATCTGAATTATTGTCGGAAGTCAATTCGAACGGCATAAAAACTAAATATCTACCGACCGTCGCGTCGGCGGCTTCTTTATACAGCATGGGCGGCGTGATATAATTTTTTCCAAAATTAATTTTATTTTTCTTATACCTACACGAATATTTTTTTATTAGAAATATAGAGTAATGCCAAAAAAACATCAGTTTGTCATGCCATGAGAATTTAATAAAAAGTTAAGAGTTATTATCTGAATTTTCAGAGCTTGAAATCTAAATTCAGGGTTATAATAATTGGGTGGTCAATGGAAGGTGAAATACAATATTCATTCTCCTTTTCTATGACATGCTGAGGAAATTTCATCCATTTACCACTGTCGTTTACTTCAATAATAACCGTTCGTATATTTCCTAGTATGGAAGCACGGTCAGTTGGAGATTGATTATATTTTCTCAGGTTTTTTAACAGCAGCCCAAATCATCTCGATCGGATTGAATTCGCAATAATAGGGAGGAAGATGAAGAATAGTATGATCATGGGCTTCGCATATCTTGTCGATTACATATTATTTTAGAAAGTTTTCTTTTTTTATAGCTTCCAATAACACTTTTTTGGTAGCCATTGTAGGAATTTTCATAGCTTTACTTTTCATGAATTTACGAATGTCTTCTTTGCGCTGCTATTGGGAATTTTGTTATGTAGACGGGAATGATAGGCGCATTGTCCGCAACAACAACATAATTTGGGAAAATATTTGGCAGTATTTGTTCATTAAACCACTTTTCAAAGAGACTGGCGGTCATATATTCATGGTAGTCAGCAGATGACTGTTTTATATTTTTAGAAGAGTATAAGGAACAAAACAGGTATTACTGCCTGCGTGTAGAATGATAACTCGATTACCGCGAGAACAAGGTCCCTTTTAGAGAGCACTTATTACCTTCATCTACCCAGATCATATGTGTCGAACCAAGTTTCATCAAGGTACACTCTCTCTTTTTGATTGGCGGTATTTTTCTTGTGTGTGTCATCGGCTTCAACTGCTAAGGTTATTTCGCCTAGTGTTCTGTGTAGGCTTTGTTACTGTTTCCCAGTGCCACTTTAGGAACAGCAGTGTTAATTAGAACCCAACAGTGAATGGCCGAGTGAGGAATCCTACCAAGGCATCAGAATTAATTTTAAATAATTAAATTAAATGAAAAAATTCCGGTTAACGGTGGGATACGAACCTGGGACCCGCAGACAGAAACTCTACCACTGAGCCACCCACCCCCTTTATTGGCGGTATTGCTTAACTTTTCGTAAATACTCCTGCGCCATGCTACGATGAGAGATGACTCCATTATCACCATTCTTTTATAAAAAAAAATGTACTTGAGTCCACAAACTAGCAAAATATTACGCAATTTGTCTAGGGATTTATATTAATAATCGGGATAGTCCCGTAATTTGTTACGAACCATTTCTAAAGTTGGAACCTTGTTTTCTTCGTAAAACTTGTGTACAACTCAGCGTATAACTCCTTTGTCAGCATTATCAACCTTCTTAAGCTTCTGATTATCTCTTTTTCGTTTTACGAAATGATCAATGACATCTCCTGCTCTAACAATATTATTAATTGTAATGCGAGGAAGTTTAGTCAGCTCATAAATACTTTTTAAAATTTCGTTTTGTGAGGACCCACGCATTTCTCTTTTCAAGAAAGTGTAAATAT